TCAGACTCTCCGAAGTAGGGATTTTGGACTAAGCTCTGAGGAGCAGAGAATGAGATTGCTTTCCATGGGTATTTTGCCTGGGACCTTGTGTTTCTTGCTGGGGACAAGTGATAAAAGAGTTGTTTATGCTGCCGTATCCTAACTTCTAGTCCTAATTTTCTAGTGATCAAGAAGAATTTTATGGAAAAATAATGCAACTGAATTAATCTGTGTTGCAAAATGGTTTCCACTATCTTGGATTATGTAGTGAGTCACTTAAAGAAATCACCAAAGCCTATCTAAGGTCAGCACATAACTGGGCAACTCTTTAAAAAGCATATGATCCACCTAGTAGAGTGAAGTAGTTTGGTAGCTAAAAATCTGTTCTGGAATTCTCTTTTCCCTGCCTAATGCAATTTAGGTGATCTTTAAGGTCTGAATTAAGTCATCAATAGGTAAGAAACATGCGATGACTGCTGATTCCCCTGTTCTGTTTCTGAGAAGAATGTGAGTGCAGACAGCTGGCTTCAGATTCTGTGTTTATGCCAGTCTAGTGGGTCAGAATCTGGTCTGTAGCGGCAAATGTGAAATCCTTACCATTGCTTGATTAAAAAGTCGAGATACGTCAAAAACTGTGCAGGGCCTGTGCATCTCTTGCAGTTCTTTTCTTTAAAGAAAGAGTTAACGAAGATTTTCTGCTTTGCTTCCGTGTTGCTTTGTTTGTGGCATCTTCTTTGATGTATGAATTTGAAGACAAGGAACAGAATGTATATATGCGCTCTCATATTTCAAGTCCTTTGAAGCAGGGAGGAGAAATCTCTTTAAATGGTGATGTGAGTGTACGAGTAGCTCTGCATGGGTTTTTTTTTCTGCATGTATAGATCTTAGGCTGAACTTCATTTAAGTGGACTGCATGCTGGCACAGTCCCAACACTGCAGGCAAATGTACATGAAGTAGCCACATAATCTTTCCAACATACAGACAGTAGTGCTAGACCTCAAACTATCAAGTTTGTGATAGTAATAATGCTCTGGAGTTCCAGATGAGGGTATGAAAGTTCTTGAAAAGCACTAGTTTGTTTTGTATCTTGCTAGGGTGCAGGAAAGTGCTATTCATTTACAGGAGGAAAAAGGTGAAGGGCAAGAAGAGATGTAACTGTAGCTGGGTCCCCTTCCTAATCAGCTGGTGGTGTTCATTTTGTGGAAGATCTGGCAACTGATCTGCTTGACTTTTCTTACACAGTCTGTGCTGAAGAAAAAGCAGCCACTTGATCTCTGACCTGTACCACAGGTGGTGTTATCAGGAAAGCATGTTATGTTATTTGGTGTTATCCTTTGGCATCGCCATATCTTAACTCCTCTTTCTCTAAAGGATGTTTTCTAGTCTGACAGAGTTACTCTCTGTGAAACTAAATCTCCATTTCTTCTGAAATAGTCTCTGTGCCGTAGACTGCAAGAGACCTGCCAGCAGCAATCCCTCCTCCTTCCTGAACAGAGCTGCTGTTGACAGTGATAGAGGAATAGTAATTGCAGCCTGTCACTGTGTGTGACTGAACTTTTTACCTTCATCGGATGATGTCAGGTTAAACAAAACCTCCTGGATAAATAAACCAAAAGCCCAATGCTGCCACTTTGCTGAAAAGAATGTGCCAATTCCTGCTATGGCTGGCAATATTTGAACCTGACATGTGTGCTGATCTTGCTGCCTGATCCATGTTGCAGATCCTTTATATGAGCATGAAACTCTGTTGAAGTCCAAGATTGTCATGGATCAGATCGTGTAGCTGAAGTCTTTGAGGGCTGCAAATTGTTGTCTGGCTTATACTGCTGTATCTAGAGAAAGACTGAAAAAATAAAATCAGTTTTGCTGTTTCACAGTCTGCCAGCAAGGTCTTATTGGTGGTAACACAGAAGCTCGTTAAATCAATTAATGAATCGACAGGGTTGCTTCTAACTAGCATGTATATGACTATTTCAAGTTTTAATGAGCATCTGAAGTCAAAGACAGCTGAAGGCCTATATGTTAAGAATCCAGTAGATCAAAACGCTTTGCAGAAATGTAGCCAACATGATTTACTTTTGAATAGTGGGATGGGGATGTTGTTGAACTGGTTGGCCTTTGGAGACCCCTTCTAACCTGATTTTATTGGTGAGACCTATTGTTATGTTAAAGGTTAAAGAGCTGTTGTGTCTTTTAACTCCCTATGGAACGTGCAGTAGGACTGGATGGGATGGAAGGAAACAATCTGGCATCGTTTTCATGTCGAGTTAACGATGTCACACTGTCATGTCCAGCATTGTGTCTGTCTTCAGGATAACAAGACATCAGGTTTTGGTTCTGGGAGTTCTCAGAATGACCATGCTCTCCATTCTGTGTAGAATGTTGCTTTATTTAAGACAAAAACTAATGCTAATGGGGTGCTTTGATTTGGAGTAGGTCACTTCTGAAGTTACAGGAGCAGGAAGGCTTGCACAACTTCCAACCTGTATGAATAAAAAGAGATGAGACAGCATAGAATGAAGGGGTTTCAAAGATGTGAAGGGCACATTCAGACAGGTGTCGGTGCCTCTGAGTGCTATGTATTTTAGTTTAAGCTGGAACCTAATTTGTGGTTCAGAAAATTCCACCAAACCTCCCTTGCAATCTCTTGGAGACAAAAGTAAATAAATAAATCCACCTTTGAACCTGCCTGTGATGACCAGGGACAGCTGAGTCTCTTGAATCTCTTCCTTGGCAAATTACAAATATGTCTGTTTTTTAAACAAAATTTGTTGATTTTAACTAGATGGAACAATTTGGAAAAACTTGGAAAATTGTTGTTCCATTTCTCCTCTGCAGTGAAATGTAACTTGAATTCAGCAGGTTGCGTTTATTCTTCTTCAAAGTTGCTTTTTAGTGTTGCTTCAAGTTTCTGCAATGATGGGGCAAAAAAACTCACCCTCCCTGTGAAGCATGACACAGCCTTTTTTTTACTAAGCTGTATTTGGATTCTGAAGTTTTTTTATTTTTATAAAGGTATGCTGTGCTGTTAACTGCTTGCACAAATGCAATATCCTGTTCAGCATAAAGTTAGGGGGCTGATTCTTGTTAACAAGTGTTCAGTGAGAAAATAACAGAATTACAAAGCAAGGCATTGGATCTTCTAAAATCACACTTCATTCAGCTTGTTCTTTGTTATCTCAAAAATAATGATGGGAATTGTGAAGGAGAGAAGAAATTGGTAAAAACATTTCGAAAAGGTGAATGGGGCCTGCGCAGGAGGTACCTGCTTGGTTGGTCTGTGCTTTCCAGGGGTGTCAGCTGTTTGCATGGGCTGGGCTGAACAGAGTGGCTTCTTGCGTTACATTTATAGCTTCTGTTCCTCTGATGTATTTCAGTTTCTCAAAGAGTTCCATTTAAGACAATCCAAGAGCTAATGATATAGTTGAACATTTAATTAATTCCTTTCTTGTATTAATCCACAAGAATTTGTGGAAGCCTCTAGCATGAGGGATGCTTGTTTGTGTAGCTGTAGTGCTAGAGCATTGATAGGAACTGTTTGTCTGACTTGTTTGAATGTGTTTCTAGAGCTGGATGTAGAAGCCAAAATGTATGTGGTTTGTCCCTCTACTTTTCCAGTTGGTTTTCCACTTGTGCAATCCGCTGCTCAGATGGCTTGTTCTGTTCCCTTAGGAAAGTGCTGGCACCTTCAAGCAATGCAGGATGAAGAATTCCCTTCCCTTTAGGTGGTTTTTTTGTTTGTTCCCCCCACCCCGCCCTGTAAAGTGTTTTGCCAGTTCAACGGCTCTGGAGACTGGAGTGCTTCAGCCGTGGAACAGACACAGCATGGGTACTGACCGAGCTGAGCCTTACCAGTATCAGCCCACCCTTGTGTCTGAAGTTGGATTCTGAACCAGCTAGTGCCAGGCTGCTTGCCTAGGTCTGCCTGTGGCTGGGCTTCCATGAGGGCCAATTGCAGGAGTTTTTTGTAGCAGTGGGTTTCCAACAGGACTAGAACTTTCTCTGTCCAGCTGTCCTGTGGTGATGACTGTCACCTGTTTCAGACCTGGAATATCAGGTGTGTAGGATGATGTGGAGTGTTGTATGTACACGGGTGGGTTTTCTATACAGCTTGTTAGAAAACCCACAGGTACACAGCTGAACTGCAGTGCAAGCACATAGCACTTGGTGCATGTGTCCTGCTCTGCAACAGCTCTGCAGACATCTGCAGCCTCGCAGTGCTAAGGCAAGAAATCTACCCTGCGTCTGGGTGTCTCAGACACTAGATGTTTGTGGACAGGTAGCTTGCCTGAAGCTGCAAAAGCATTTTGGGTTTCTGACCACACGCCATGCACCAGTGTGGCCAAGGGTGTGCCCTAATTTGGATGCATTGTGCTTCGCTGTGCTGTCATATAATTGAGTGTCTGTTGGAAACAACTAAAAAGGCATCTGTTTTCAGTCTGAGAGGAAAACAGATGTTCTACTCTCTTGTGAGAGCTCAGTAGAGTGATGCTTCAGCTGTTATTCCAGACATCAGTGATGACAGCCAAAAAGGCAAAGGGACAGATGCATAGGTCAAAAGGAGTTGAGGAGAGGAAAATGTTTAGGAAGAAGACTGCTTATTTCCTGTGTGTGAAGTGGCGTGTGGGGTTTGGTTCTGGAGAGTGTGGAAAGCATTGCGCTCAAAGTTAGCATTAGCTTTTAAATAGGCAGGGACAAAATCTTTTTATCAATACGGATGCTGTTCCCTGGACCAGATAGATCAAATTCTTGGAAGATACCTACTTGCCAGGACTTAAAAGATACTAAAAGTGGTGCCTGACTTGCTCAAGAACTGTGCTGAGATCTGGGTGCAAGAGAGCCATAGTTGAGAGGCTTGTGTGGGTTACAGACCAGTTGGGGCTGCTGAGCCTGAAGCTGTGTTAGGAGGTCTGCAGGGTGCTAGGCCTGGGCCAGCCATGTCACTTCAGTTGAATGTTCTTGGCCCCTTGCAGGATGACATGATGGCTCAAGCAGAGGGTGCATGGTGACAGCTGCCTAGCTTGCAGATGGGCACTGGTGCATATCTGCTGATGTGAGGTCTGAATATAGCTTCAGTGGCACACTTGGGTGAGCAGGAGAGGACTGGGTCTGTCTCCTTCTGTGTTCCTGTGGCACTTGGTTTTCTGGGGTCTTGGTTTCAGCTGGAGTCACTGGTATAGCACTGATAGTAAACCTCTGGGAGCTTTCCCTTTCAGTTGTTTGACATGCATTGAAAAACAGCATTTAACTGTACCTTGGGGTGATGAGAGAAGAAGAAACTGATATAGTCAACAGCTTAAACCAGTAGCTCTGTCTTCACTGACCTGTGTTGACAGTACTGAATAGTAAGCTGTAGGAAGCATCACGTTTGCTCTATGGGCTGTGCTAGATCTTGTGGCTTCTGCAGATGCTGGGTTAGATCTAGCTCAGGTGCACCCCTCACTGGTGTAGGAGAGACTGAGAAGTATTTTAACCCATGCCTCTACGGTTCATCCTCTGGGGTTTCCTGAGGGTCAGAAAGGTGTGTTAAACGCACTGTCTCCTCTCCGATGCTCATCTGTGAAGGAAGACCTTGTGATGTACTGCTGAAGACTTCCCTTGAGGGTAGCGCTTGGCAATACTGCATGGGTCACTGCAGCTTCACCAGCCTGGAGGGGACGGGAGGAGAAGGTGTAGGTCCCACAGAGAAGGGCAGCATGTGTTGAGAGATCCTCCGTACTTGAAAATGATGCTACTTAGTCCCAGAGGCTGGTTTCTTTGTGCTTTTCAGCACATCTGGCTCTTTCCTGCATGTATGAGTCCCACTTTTCTGAAATCTCTCGAAACCCTGAATTTTAGTTTTGTCATGCAAGGTTTTGAAATTTTCTTCTTTTGTGATGCTAGGCACTGGAAGAGCCGTCCTTGATTTATGAACAGCACTTGTTGGGCCTGTCATATGTAAAACTTGCCTGAAGATCTGCGGGACATGCTGCAAGAGCATGTTTTAGTTTTTGCATGCTGGATTTTTTAATGGGAAGCTTTGCTTGGATTCTCTTGTTTCTGCTGTCTGCTGGGACAGCCAGCTCTGTCCTAGCCTCACGCTACAGGTTGTGTCTGTCTGCATTGAGAGGTGGTTTTCTTTTGGCTGCAAGTTTATATTGTCTTATAGTTGTAGGTGATAAGAATGTGAGGAGCCTCTTTCTGTGGTGAAGGGTAGTCGGACTTTCACCTTTTCTTCAACGGCACTTTCCAGAGTAGTACTTTGTGCTGTTCTTTCTAAACAGTTGAACCTTTTGGGCTCTTTGGGAACTATAAAATCAGTTGTGTATTTACTTGGCTGTTAGAGCACTACACTGCTAGCAGCACTTTCCAGCAGTTCTTTGCAATGGAAAGTGAAGAGAGGACTCTTCAGGTAGAAGCTGAGGGGGATTCCAGGTAGGGTTTTGGTAATTACTGAGGCTGGAATTTAGGCTGTAGAAGCCATTGCTCTTGTGTTACAAGGCTGTTAAAGGCTTTCCGGGTGGCTAGTTGGTCAGAGCTTCAGCTCTGCCAGTCTCTTCTGGGTGGAAATATTTCAGTGGGCTAAAGCAGCAGCTTGGCAAGAGTAGGATTCCTCCTGAAGTGATGCCTTCCTCTGGAGGAGGCATTCCCTCCTGCCACTGGTGGCCCCTTTCTCTCCTCAGCGTCTGTCTCCACTTACTTGGGCTATTGTCTGTCTTCCTGCAGCTAACAAAGGGATCTTGAACCTTTCTTCTCTGTTTCTCAGTGCACTTTGTTGTACAATTAGGCTGCTGTGGATTATGTCTGGAGCCCCTTCTCAAGCGTGTAGGAGCATATGGTAAGTGCCGAGCAGGCAGTCTGACTGCACAGGGCTGGGAACTGCTGTGGCAGCTTCAGATCCTGGGGTGTTTCCAGAGCTTTGTAAAGGCTGTGGCTACTGAAAAGGCTATTACACTCTTAATTGCATATGTTCTTTTCTTCCCAAACATGGCAAGAAAAAAGCTTCATTAGCTGCGATCTAGCAAGAGATGTCAGCATCTGGTAACTACCCTCTACCATACTGAAGTCAGCTCCTCACCACAGCAGCTGCTTGGCCTCCCTGAGAGATCCCCAGCTTTTCTTCACGTTACCAGCAGCTGGTGGGTCTTGGCTGTGTTTGCACCTACTGGTGCCCCCTCATGAGGCTGTCCATGTGGCTTGTCATCACTGCTTTGCAGGGTTGCTGTGCCTCGTGAAAGCTTATATTTAGTGGTGTAATCGGGAAGTGCAGGTGTTCAGAAGCGTGAGAACTGGTGGTCAAGGGGGGTAGCTGGATATTTGAGCATCCTCCGCGTTCTCACAACTCACATCCTCCCAGCTCTCCCATTCTCTTCAGTTCTTGAGCCCTAAGGGAGCAGCGAGGACTGTTGGTGATGATCTGCTAGGTTCTGTGTTTGCCTGTTTTCTTGCAGTTGCTGTCCAAACCCTCAGAAGCACTCCTGTTTCAGTTTTAAAATGTGCTGAGCACTTTCTATTCCTGTAGGGGTCAGTGCTTCTGTGCTGGGAGCTTTGAGGTGCTCCAGCTAATATGGTCTGCCTAAAGGCGGATTACTGGTGTGATTTCTTGCTTTCTCTGTGCACTGCAGCAGGCTTTTGCCTCTAACTGGAGTGGGAAGCACTTTTCTGAGATAAACCAACCTGGTCTGTTGATAAGGCACATTGCTACACTAGCAATTTACTCGTTGCCATAATAAAGGCTTTCAGTTTTCCCATGAAAAATGAAGCAGGGCATTGCAATGGCTTTTTTCCTTTTCCTGACATATTCTTGTTGCTTTTCTGTAAGAGATCCTAGCACTCATTGTACAATGCTTCATTTTGCCTTGAACTCCTGACATGCAACTTGTCACCAAAGCTACAAGCTCATTCAAGGATGTGGTGGGCCTGATCCCCAGCTGATGCATACAGCATGATCTCATCAGTGCTCACAGAGCTACCTACATTCATTTTTCCTTCCTGGCTGAGGACCTGGCTGTAATTGCGCAGCTGAGGGCAATGGAACTGCACAGAATAGTGGCAGTGTTTGTGACTAAGATACTTAACTGCTTTGTGGTGAGGAACCAAAGGCAATAGCAGTTGGTAGTGCAGATGTTTTGATGTTGTTTTATGTGAAGACACTGAGCATTGAATACTGCTATACAGAGATCTGTACCTGTAAGGTGCTGCAAAAACAGGACTGCCTTTCTGAAACAACGTTTGCTGCTGCTGGTTTGGGGTAATTGAGACTCTACCTTGAACTGCAGAGTCTCCTGATGTATTACCACGAGTGCTGTTTCCCTGGAGACTGAGCACGGACTGTAGTTTGTGTCAGTAGTTATTTACCTGCTGTGCTGTCTGGAGCTTTGACCTTGCTCAGGCTAGAAAAGCCACCTGTGCTCCACAGCAGTGACTCTACGACTTGTGATTCTCTCTGTGTCCTGTGGGCAGAGCCCCATAGTTATATGCTGTTCCCTCTCCTCAAGGTTGTGCACAACTACGGAAGGACCAGTGCAGAATCTTTGCAAAAGAGGGTGAATTTGTTACTCAGAATCACAGAATGTTCGGGGTTGGAAGGGACCTCTGTGAGTCATCTAGTCCAACCCTCCTGCCGAAACAAGGTCACCTACAGCAGGCAGCAGACGACCTTGTCCAGGCAGGTCTTGAATATCTCCAGAGAAGGAGACTCCACAACCTCCCTGGGCAGCCTGTTCCAGTGCTCCGTCACCCTCAGAGGGAAGAAGTTCTTCCTCATGTTCAGACGGAACTTCTGTGCTTCAGTTTGGGAACTCTTGAGAGCTCACCCCTTCAATTCTGTTGAGCAGGGGCAGGGAGCATTGTGGCTGGGGGCTGACTTGCTCCAGCTCTCTCACCTGGGATGTAATTGTCAGCTCTCCTGGAAGCCATGTCCACATTTCAGAATGACTGTGTTCTGTTAAGAATCCCCCCATTTTTCTGTGTGGAATTTCTGTAGCGATAACTTCTTGCACTGTGGTGCATTTCCTTGAATTGCTTTGAATTTCTTATGTATTCTGTCAAGTCTCTAGCTCTTACATCAGGAGACAACTGGATTTTTGTTGGCTTTTTTGCTGGATCCAGAAAATAGTTCTTGGGGGTGTTTTGCTGTTGCATAAGAAAGGTGCCCTTCTGTCCTAACAGTAGTTGTAAAAATACGTGCCTGTAGTGATAATTTCTGAATCAAACATAAATGAACTTAGTCCTTCCGGATTTATTTCACTCTAGAGCTATGCATTATTTACTGAGTTGCAAGTTGGACTTGGTGATCTTAAAGGTCTTTTCCAACCTTAATGATTCTATGATCTGTTCCCAGGTCTGTAAACGAAGGAGAATCTTGAATAACCAGGTTTTTGCTCATTTTACAAGTGCTGGTGGTTTCATTGGGTGTTTTGGTTCAGCCATCTCCATCAGTCCAGCCGAAAGCCCTGCCAGGCTGTCACTTGTCACATGGGCTTGCTAACTGTCCCACAGTGCTACACCATTGTAGGCTGGGTGAGCTGCCTTCAAATAAGCTGGTCCTCTGAATTTTGGGGTGAGCAATGGTCCTTAATTCGTAGATGGTTGTTCTTGATGTTTTTTTTACAAGTGGTAGTTTAACAGTGCTGAGATGTGCTCTGAGCTCTGTTGTGTTGGAATAGTGGACGGATTAGAGAGGCCGGCTGATGGCACTCTTCCCTGCTCTCCAGTCCCAGGAGACCTGTGCGAAGTTGTGTTGCTCCTTGTGTTGTACAAGTGAGGCATTTGCCAGAGGCTCAGGTGGCTGGGACAGTAGTGTGGGGACTCTGCGGTAGTACTGGCTGTCAGACTCAGATGGCTGGCAAGGGTCACGGGAGCACAGGCTGGTATTGGCGTGGAGGTGCAGGGAAGATAAACTTTCAGGACGGTGTTGAACAGAGCCTAGGACTGAGGGGAGACCATGAGTAGCGGAGATGTGGGAACCTGTCTGAGTGGAGATGCGCAGGGCAGTCGGCACCTCCTGGATTTTCCTTTGACAGTGGCACGGCAGAGACAGCGTGAGCAGCCTGGGCATCACCACCCTTAGAGAGGGCGGTTGTCATGGGCCAGTGTACAGCAGGGATGGATTCTCAGTGGGGAGGGAAGAGCCAGGTATCTCTGGATGTACAGCCAGGAGAAGAGAAAAGGTCCTCAAGCATGAGGCAGGAGAGAGGGGGAAAAGGTATACAGAAATGAAAGCTGTTACGTGGTTTAAATCCTGTCAGGTCTGTTAAATGTGCTGCTAGTCTGATTTGCTGAACAGTTGCATGCTGTGCTGTAAGGAGCCCCTTGATGCTGATATGTTCCAGTGTGCAGGATTTGGCCTCCCTGCTAGGGAAGAACAGAGTGCCAGGGATGTTCCTGACCCGCTGTGACTGTTCTCAGCCATAGGCACTGTCTGTGTTTGATCTGGTATTGCTTAGCGTAATTCCCTGCTCTGGGTAGAATAACTCTGATCAGCTGCATAGGAGGGCAGAAAAATCCTCTGAAAGGTTTCTGTAGCTCTTTCCCATTCTTCTAAATCTAAAACAGATGCCTGGCCTCTCATCAGTGTCTTAAAACAGAAGAAGAGTCACTGTAAGGTTACTCTGTTTGGAAAATTTGATTCCCACATTAAGTAGTTATTCCTGGGCTCTTTCTCTAGAGCCATGAGATACCACCCGCGATTTGCCATTCAATACAGCAGTGCCTCGAGAGAGTGGCTGCTTGGTTTGGATGTATGGACCACAATCTCTGGGAGTGGCAAACATGCCCCTTTTATTTGTCATCATCTACAGACAGATTTCTGTGATATTTTGGAAAATGTAACCATTTGAAGTCTTCCCATGTTCAGCTTGTAGTGATGCCAGTAAAACCAGTTGTGCTACTGTTGCAGCCACCTTGTTTGCTGGTGTTGGTTTTGCAAACAGTGTTGTAGAGAATAGCTCACATGACCAGTGTCTGTGCTAGGGTCGTTGGGCTGGGGCGATGCACTGGCGTTGCCAGTGCGGGTGGGATCCTGCCTTGGAACATGAAATGTTAACTGCTGGAACGGCAGGAGGAGGAGATGGACTCCTCCAGGGTGGATCTGGTTATACTCGTGTGCAGGTGGAATACTGCAGTCAGTATTTCATAAACTTAATTTCATGTTTCTGTATCTGCCAGGAGTTTTTATTACTGCTGTCCTGACCCAAAATAAATACCTGACTTCAAACCTAAATTTGCAAATGTCAGCTAACTTTAGCTATTGCTTGGTCTTGGGTGCCCGGTTCAGTTGTGGTGGATGTTTCATATCTTGAGGAATTAGAGCTGCTCCTTGTCTGACTGATTAGCACTAGTCATCAGTCACTGAGGAAGAAGAACATCAGTGCTTGTCTCAAGCTTCTCAGTATGTAGCCTGAAGCGTTCTCCTCTTTCATAAATATTAAGTTTACTTAAAGTATGCAAGTGCTTCGCTATGTCTTTGTTTATGAATCCAAAAGATTAGAAAAGCAAGTATTCAAAAAACCTGGTTGTCTTCTCATGAGTTTTTTTGCACTTTGAGGTATCGAAGTTTATGCTTTTCCACCTCCCTCCTCTTATCCAAGAAAGACCTCACAGACAGACTCCAAAGTGAGATGGCCAGGCTGTGTCACCAGACTGCTGGAGATGAGGAAACTGAGCATGAAGCAAGCTGGTGACTCTTTGCCTGCAGCATTCCCACGCGGGTCCCAGGCTGCCAGGCGTGGAGGGTCCGGTAGGGAGCCAGGCAGCGGGGAGGTGCTGCTCAGCCTGTTGCTGGCTCCCTGCAACGGACACGGGGTCTGAGTTTGTACCGCAGCGTGCGCGTCTCTGCTGCACGGGCACGGTGCGGAGCGGAGCAAAGGGCTTGTCCCTTGTCTGCCGCATTCCGGAGTGGCTGTGCTGGTGCTGGCTGCTGTGGTAGCCCCAGGCTGTGATTCACTCTGGTCACTTTGTGCTGGGTCAGCTGGTGCTGGATGGTGCAGCTTGCTTTCTTGCCCTTTTATGGGAGTGCATTTAGGTGTGTCTTGTTTTAGGCTGTGTTGGATGCATTTGTCCACCATGCTTGGTGAGCATTTACTGTTAGAGCAGATGGTGGTAGTCTGGCTGCTCTCTGATATGTGGAGATGCCTGCAGGCCTTTCGGCACCACCCAGGTATTAAAGGGCAGATGCTTTGACTTCTTTGAAGTAAGTTTTTGATGACTTCTTAAAAAAATAGTATTTTCTGTATTGGGAAAGGCTGTGTTGCATCCTTGGAACTAACAAGGGCCTTGTTTACTGGGAATGATGGTGCCTTGAGACCTGGCAGCTGGAGGGAGGCAGGAGAAGGGCTTGCTGACAGCCCTTAGCTCCTATGGAAAGTACTGAGACATTACAAAGCAGCAGCAGATGCCAACTGAGCTGTATTGGCACAAATTGCTTTACTCACTGTCTTGGGGAACCTCCAGAGTCAGCTAAGCAAAGCAGCATAGCCGCAGACCTGGGGCTGTGCCTCTGTGTTTCTGCAGTGGGTTTGGGAGCCCTGAGGCCACCCTTTGTGGGGCCTGTATAAAGCCGGGACTAAAAGCAGCAGCTGCTGACCTGGTATGTTCTTGGTTGAGTGCTGGGGGCCTCTGTGCTGCTAGAGATGCTGGTGGGTTGAGCCCGACCTTCCCTGGAGCATGAACTGAGACTTGTGCCCATCTGGAGGCCTGGAACGGCTCCGCAGTTATCGGCACTGCAGTGTTGTGTGGAATTTCGGGTGGAGAGCTGCCCTTACTGTGCCCCGGCGTGGTGCCGTGCCGCAGGCTGGCTTCCCCGGGGAGGGGTGTGCTGTGAGGTGGCAGCCGCTGACAGGGCCCAGGGCTGCTCCGGCCCCGCCTGACAGCTGCCCCTCCTGCTCGTCGACCTGTGCCGATCTGGGCAGCGCTGGAGTAACCGCTTGGCGTTGGCTGTAGTGAGCTCTGCAGCGCGGTCAGTCCGATAGAGCAAGGGCTGGAATTCAACCCATTCTGTGTGCGTTCACCCGTCATGCCCCGGGTTTTCTGTTGTCTGTCTCTAACAGATCCGCTGGATCCCAGTCCGTACACAATTTCAGCTTCCCACCTCTGCTCTCCCAGTCAGCAGTCTGAGGCAGGTGGCACACTGGGGTTGATGTGCCTCCCAGCACGGGAGGGAGCAGCACTCGCTCACCCCCCGTGGCTGTCCCCTCAGTAGCTGTCCAAGCTGCCGCTGTAATCCCTGTGCTCACGAGCTCTCCGTTTCCATAAGCACAACAGCAACAAGTCCGGGGAGGCTTAGCTCGTCGGTGCTGCGTGCTGCTGGGGGCAGCGTGCGGGGCAGCTGGCTGTGCCTGCGCGGTGCATGTGGCTCCTTCAGCGTCCGAGGGCCGGGTTCCCCTCGCCCTTCCCGGCCGGTGGAGGAAGAGACGGCGCGTTAAAAAGATGTTACGAGGAGTGGCGCGGCTGACGGACCTGTTCCTGTGGCGGGAGAGGAGCGCAGGGGCTGTGCAGGGGCGGCGGTGTTGGGGAGGTCCCGCGGCGGGCAGTCCCCTGCTGCTGGGGCTGAGCTCGGCCTGAGGGGGCGCTAACACACC